GCGAAGGTTTTTATTAGGAAAGTCACATCATTTTTGTTATACTATTCCCTCAAGAATACACTTTTTGTACAGTTACCTGAAAAATCATTCTTATTTCTAAAATGAAGAACAGAGGTACCTCGGTATACTTCTACTAAGTTCAGCTTGCTATGCGTTGTGTTTGGACGGGAAAATTTTTGACATTTGCTTGAAACGCTTGTTTGACATTTGTTTATTTTGAATTCACGTTCAATGAGTCACGATTACGTGCCTTATCCTTGCTTACTTCTTTCGAAACATTGCTACACGTGATAGTAATTATATTTATTTATTTATTTACCATCAGATGAGCAGCTGCGCCGCCTTTAAGACATTCAACTTTTATGCTCAACTGATGGAATCACCTACCAACTGTGTTGTTATATATAAAATACAACAAAACTTTAGAAATTTGATAGTTGCATAATAAAAATTAAATATAAAAAATAAATATATTAATACATAAATAGATACAATAAATAAAGATAAAAATTTAGAATTAGATTAAATGCTAAATACAATGTTGTTATATATGAAGTCAATATATATAAGACAAACTCTAATACCAGATTTGATCCCAAATAAATGAATGTCAAAATTTTGCAGAGAAGTATCATTCCAATAAAGTTCAAACAACTATGTAACAGCAATGTCTAGAATGGCCAAACAATGTTACTTCCAAAACAGCCTAAGAAGAAGGCAAAAGCAAAGTTCTTTTAATAGATTTTTAGTAAGGATCAGACCTGTGGATCATTAACCAGGTCCAACAAAGGATCTGACAGAAGAAAAGAGGCAGAAAAGAAATAAATTTGTAAAATTTCATTTATATACAGAATATATATTTCATCTCCTACATTTGTATTCGATAATGTCAAGTGTCAGAATTGTTAGATAAGATTTTTTATAAGAACAGATTATTTATTTTATCTTTATTTTTTATTGGAAATGTTCACTCAGCATACGTCCGGTTTGGTCCAAAGATCTAGATCTGGAACGGATAAATGACGTATACCGATGTACTACTGCACTTGTATTCTTTAGACACTAAAATATTTGTCTTTTAAGAAGTCTCGGTATCAGAGTCCAGTTTTTCTGGAATCTCTAATAATATGATTTGTTATCAAATAAATTGACCTGTATGTTTCTCATGATTGCATCCAATTTTCTAATAATCTGTGATATAACAAGATTAATGTTGTAGGTTTCTCTTGTTTCTGTGGATATAATAAGAGAGGATAATATGAAGACTATATTTAAATTCGTCTACATATGTTTTAGCATTTATTAACATTATATGATCGTAACTTTTATTAACATCATTTGGATTTTTTTCGTCTTTAATAAACTTTATGTAATTTGTGAGTAAGCGTTCAGTTTCAGTTAAAAATGGCTCAACAGAAATGAAGTATATTTATTAACCTACATTTTGCACAGTTTAAATAAAATAACTTTAAATTTAGTAATAAATGAATTTTATCAGGAAGGAAATGTTTTTACTTTCTCTTATTGTAAATAAACATTAGATATTATACCTGAACAAATCAAAAGCGTAAAAACGCCTAACTACGAAATAATAATACATAGCACTATTTTTATATCAAAATCTAGAAATAAATTATTCGTTGATTGTATAATTTTATTTATAGTCTTTCAGCAAAAAGACTAAAGGGAAAAAATATGTTTTAAAATATCATCGATTTAAGCATTTAAACATGCGAGTCATGGCGGAGAAGATGTAGGTCAGCGAACAGTAAGAGGTCCCAAGGACGTCCTTGTTCCGGACAACCACCTAGTTTTTGGCAGACGTAATAAGTTGAGTAAGTAATAACGTCTGATAGAAACCACATCGCTAAATGTAAATAGCTTAGGTATACAGAACCGTAGTTTAGTTTAAATTAAGTTATAGGCGAATACATGATATGTAAGAATAAGAGATATTCATGCTATGGCATGTTTGTTGTTTGGTACATGGATTACCAGAATTCTTCGACTTATATTAAATTATCACTTTAGAGACACGATTTTCATGCATAAAGTTTCCTTTCCATACTCATATATGCAATTGATTTTTAAACTACGTAAATATTTCAAAAGTCTCTTACGCATACATAACTAATTAAGCACTGGATTAATTATATTCTTTCTTAAAGCTCCTTTTTTCGCCCTTAATACAAATATTTACGAAACTGAGTTGATACTTTATTTCTGAGTAATCACCAATCACAATGACTGATACAAATTTTACGCTGCATTTCTTACTTCAAAATTTACCAGACATGTCTATAATAACGTTTTGTCTTTTAGTAGCGAAATCTATAATGAGAGACTTTATTTGAGCTGTATGGATTTGTAGTGATTATTGGTGTTTTTTCGGGAAGAGAGGAAGCGTCAATAATCAACTGTGCCCTTGCCAGGATTCAAACAATGAATCTTCTATCAGATCGGATGTTAGCATCTTATCTCTGCTCGATATTTACACCATAATAATAGTAGAGAAAGTAGCATGTAATAGTTTCTTACTTCATTTACCATATAAGCGAGACTGGGAAGAAGTACGAGACCAAGTTGACTTCATACAAGTTGAAAGATTTATCGTCCACCACATTTTAGTTCAGAAGCCACTATAGAGACTATTAGACTTATCGGAACAAGAAACGCGAACTATCTATGGTGCCTTCGCCGGGATTGCAACTACGGATCTTCCAATCGCTAGCTTATCGTCCTAACCAATAACATCACCAGAGCGCTCATGGGTAAAGGCGATAATTCTTTACAGACTAATTTGGGCATAAATATGAAATTTGGTTTACTTTATTTAATTATGGCAACGTATGCTAGGGTTATTTACCCTAAGGTGAGGGCCATCCTGATAGGCCTTCTATGCGCAACTGGATAGTATTAACGTTAACTGGATAGTATTAACGTTGGATCCAATAGAAGCATTCAAAAAGCGAATGTTATAATTACCAATATCACTTAGCTGTGGCCGAGTGCCACATTTTTAATCTTCTAGACAAGAATTCAGCATTCCATGTTTAGCATTCACCAATGTCAATTATTAGAATATTTTTGACCTCTTTAGACTAGCTTATGTTTAAAATGATTATTTAAACACGTAAATTATTTCGGCAGTTCCTCAAACATTGTTTATTACCAAATTATTATCAAATTAGTAAATAAAGTACACAGTTAAAACTTCAGAAGCTTCAAGCTTAATATTCAGGAGTTTTAATTATATACTTCATTTAGTAAATTTCATCTGTAGCTTCTTAACAAATATAGGCGTGTTTTTAAAAGCTATATTCTTGAAATTGTTTTTTGGTAAGTGCAGATCTGAAGCATGTTTTCCCCTTAATATTAAGTAAAAGATTTTTTCCCTTCTTCTTTTTCTTCTTGGGATTAGAGAATTATTCGAGAAAATTGATTATTTATACCATTTCTAGGAATATGATGTAAACAGTTGCGTCGAAAGGAATTTTTCTTTATCTTCCGAGCACTCTTCCTCCAATACTAAAGAAAATATGTTTTGAATCTCTAAGATTTTTAACAAGTAATATTTCTGTATTCAAATGTTCCTGTCCCCGCCTCGCTTGCTCTACATTGTTTTTTTTTTTTTTTCATTCGTTCTGTTATTTATTATAAGTTATTTCACTGAGCTTCGGAAACAGAAATTAAAGAAAAATTACAAAACTGAAACTATGTAAATTACCACCGCCTTTAATAAAAAGAAACTACAGATTAGAAAGCTAAGAGTTGAATTTATAAACTTTCTTATTACATTTCATATTTAATTTTAATTAAGATTCAGTTTCATTATTTGGGAACAAGATCGTATCTCAAAACCTTCCCAATAAAATAAACCCTTTTCTTGAAAAATGAATCCTTAATATTAATTCAGAAGATTTCTAAACAACTGAAGTTAGGATACAAGAAATTCAGATCTAGTCTTACATTAATTTTTAATATTTTAGTCAATCGGCTAATTACAGTTACAGTTTGGTTGCTTGAAATGTTAAGGTTTTATTATACTGAGAAGATCTGCTTCGGTAGATGAGAAATGTTCTATGATTTGGAAGCTTATAACAGCCGCCTAGCAACAGAAATTAAAGTAAAATGTACCATTTGATGTTTCCGATTAAATTTCAAGGAAAAGTTTAAATATTTTCACTTTCTTAATTTTGTTTACAGTCGAAACAACCGGAAAACGTACATAGAATAGGTAAAATAATGGTAACTAATTTTAAATTGAATCAAATTATTAAAATATATCTAGAAATATAAGGGTATAGACATCAATAGCATTTATTACACTCCAGTTTATACACGAGTATGCATTATAATTTCTATTATTTTTCCGGTTTATGCAAAACCATTTCATCTCTGTATAAATTTTTCAGAAGCCCATTTTAGTATTTACCAATTTTAACAAATTAGGCGACTCAACCTAGAAGCGTAATTAATTTTATCCAGTACCATATTTTAACAATTTATTGCAAATGAAGTGAAAATTTGAATGGATTTGAAATGGATGAAAATTAATTATGCAGAATCTTTGGGCTATAATAATCAACCATCATATTCTTAGAAATCTTTCACCAAATATTTGACTTCAGAAATGAGACACATGTTCTTGTAAGATTTTCAGCAAAGTATACTGTATTCATACTGGTATCGAATAATAAATGATCATTACGAATTTTAGAGTAACGGAAAATCCGAAAACTCTGCGGAGTCATTTAGACTAGAATCAATTCATCGAAACACAGAAATATTGGAAAATATTTAAGAAACGTTTTGGGTTTTCAGTTTCGTAAATTCGGTACTTCCAGAAGGAAAAGACTCAAATATTTGCTGTTCAGTTCGTACTAATATTTTCTCAGATCAATGATAGCATCTTATACATCATAACAAAAATGTAAAACAAACAAACACAGATCGCGGCACTCAAAAATTTCGATAAGATATACGAAATGTTTATTTACCTTCATAATGGCCTTCGATTCAACGTCTGGAGGCACTAGAAAACACGCAACAAGCGCCAAAATAATTACTATTTCTACGGATCCCATTTTCGTTCTTTACAAATTCTACCAATTCTTTTTTTTTCACTCGACTCCTGAATGTTCGTTTATTCCAATGGCAAGTTACCGCCAGTTTTTATACTCAGCATTTTGTTTATTTTTTTCAAATGAGTAGAGTCGATGTACAATGTCATGGTAACGGGAAGACGCGGAACACTGCGCGTGGATTGCCCTTTCTCTCGCCAATCCGTCGCCAAAGAGTTTCTCCGTTTTCTGGCAGAAAAAAATCTGTAAATCACTTTCGCGGATGATGAGTTGAACGAAGGGAGCAACAGCTGTGATAGGAGATGATGTCTTATTATTTGAGAATTGTTTTTATCTACAACCGTACGTAATTTAATTGTTCACGTTCCGAAACACATAAGCATTATTAAATCATTTAAAAGTACAGCTGAATTTTAAAATAAATCAGGTGTACAACTGTAACGATTTTACTTTGTTTAGCATTAACCATAATCATATATAATTTAATTTCTTCATTTTAATCTGGCTTTGTATATGGAGTGTTCGTTTGGTTTTGAACGCATTTAACTTACGTAATCAAATGAATTAATTCTCCCGAGTAAACTGCTTGGAAAAATGAGTTAATTGTTAACTGCTAATTTTCTGTTCCTCTTATCACGAGTTATTCTTATTTATGGTGTTTTTTTAACTGCACTTGAGTTAAACGTGATTTTGCGGTAAATCTGGAGTTGGCTGTAGTTGCATCAGTAGCTGACAGTTTTAGCCTGCGGTTGATTCTCAAAAGTTGGTAGGCTGAGCAGAATTTTTTATGACTTCCTCACGTATAATGTAAAAAAGAACGAGTTTTTCTTGGAAAATCCTAAATCCTTCACAAAAGAAGTTGCAAAACTAAAATCCTTCTCAAAAACATCAGTGCTCCCTAAGGCAGTGGTTTCAAACTCTAGTTGCATGCGGGCCGATTGTACGATCTAGAAGCAGCTAACGAGCAGAAATTTAAGAATAAAATGAGAATGAATATATATATATATGCGTGGTGTGTGCGCGCGTTTGTATATATATAATAAAAATAATAATAAATAATAATAGTACAAGAAAAGGTTCTAAGCTAATATCCAACTACGCGCTGTAAGCTACAATAATTGGTGGCGATAATCAGTTGAAGAAAAAGGCTGATCCATATACATCTGTCGATACATCGACTCCTAAGAAGGTGATGTTTCGAGCGATGGAATTTCTTTTTTGATTCTAATCTTTCATTTTTAACACAACTATATTTTGTATTTTTGCACTCTTTGAATTTCAAAACTGGACCCTTTTTCTTAAGCTGGTTTAGTGATTTTGCAAAATGGTTTATTTATTGCCAGCTCTTTATTCAAGGCTGAATATACTTTTAGCTTAAATTTTTGATTTAATATATATATATATATATATATATATAGCGCCGTTTATACCTTAATTCATGGATATCACCCGTTTCTAACCTGATGCTATTCGTGACACGGATGTCTGGTGTGTTCCGTGTAAGTTTATAATACATTTGAAATTATGATTTTAAATTTAATTTGCGTAACATGGTTTAGTTGAAAATTTATTTCGATAATATTCGCTTCTATTTTCTAAAATGTTTTTATCTGTACTTAAAATCTTATTTCTCAAATTATAATTTTGTCCTTCTCTCTCTCGCTAAAATTATGAGATTCTTTCTTTTGGTTAAATTCTTCTTTCGATTTTTTTCGTTACAGATATTTATCAAAACATAGTGTACGATAACAATAATAACACGAAGAGAAAAATTCAAATTTATTTTTATTTTCCATCTGAAATCTTAATTTTTCTCTACTTGCAAGAAATTTCTCTTGGTTGCACTTCGCAATTCAAACCTATTCATAGAAATATGCTAAATTTATTTCAAATAATTTTAATATGTTGAATTACTTACTAAATAACTTACTTAAAACCAAAATAGTCAAATTTTACGAAAGCTTTCGAAATTTACAGAGAAAACTTTTGGAGTGGAACGAAACGTAAGAATAAATAATGGCAACCCTTTTTTTATGAAGTCAATTTTTCTTCGACACATGCAGAAAAAAATACATATATATGTATGTAAACAATTATACACATATTTATTTTTTACTACAACTTGACACTTGATGGCATTTCGATTCAGATAAATTTTGTATTTTTGGATAAAAATTACCAGAAGCTGTCTTAGTCGCCGATTGTTGGTTTCGTTTGGTTTAGTGTATTATGGCATGGGCATTAGAGATATTTGCCTAAAGGGAGGGATGCCTTCGTAGAGGGCTTTCTAAGTGAAACTGGCTCGTATACACATTAAACCACGAAAACGCCCATGCAGCCAGCCTTTATTCGCCTGAATTCGAACCCAAGTCTGAACTACTACTATTCAGTGATTTTACTACTCAGCCGCTGGTGGGCTTTGTCGTCAATAGACGCTAAGCAGTTAATCATATTCTTTTCTCAGACTTAATAATTTTCAACTGCGAAAAACCTCGTTTCACTATATAATTTATCTGTATTCACAGATAGCCCCGTGTCTTTGCCATCTTCGAATAATCCTATTTTGTTCGGGAGTGACCTTTTTCCTCCCAGTAATGCTTAGTTTTAGGCAGTGAAAATAATATCCCATTGCTTTTATTTATAAAAGATTTACGAAATTTAAATCGAAATATGAAATCAGCTGTTAATTAAATTAAAATACTTTTTTTATTATATTTTATGCTATTTTTCATAACTAGTAATTTATTTACAATTTTACATATATGTATGCCAGAGGAAATTTAAATTTTAATTTTAAAAATCATCTGTAAATTCCTCTCAGAAAGAGAATTTTCTCCAATATCTATGCTTTTTTACACTTTAAGCATTTTAAAGTGTAAAAGCATTTTTAACGCATCATGTTTAATTAAACCGCATCATGTTTAATTAAAACAACTGCGCTGAATAGCCTGTTGTTTAAATTAAGCATTTCTAACTACAGCAAATCATCACTTGACACAGAACTTTACTCATGGGTTTGGTTTGGTTTAGTTTATTTCATAACGGCAAATCACTTAATGTGAGATATCTTCCTAAGAGAAGGGATGCCTTCGTCTAGGATTTTTCTTAGGGAAACTGGCTCATATACGTGTTACACATGGGGAAAACACCAAAATGTACATGCAGCTAACCCGTTTACCGGGATTCGAATCGAAAATCGAACTGCCAGTGTTCAGCGACTTCAGTACCGCTGGTCGCTGGTGAGTGCTTCGCTTATGGGAATGACATGGTATTAGAAAAAAGGCGTGAAACATATATCTAGTTCATTATACTCATTCATTAACCAATAAACAATTAATGCAAACATAATGTGATAATGGAGCTATGTGAGAAAAAGTCTTAAAACAGTTCAGTTTCATTTCTAGCCTTTGAAAAAAAATCATTCTGTTCTGTAGTCTGATGTTTTAATATATAATCTTCTAAGCAGTAATTTTAATGTAGTGAACTCATGCATCCAGTTAAGTGGTATAAAAATCAAGTTATGAAACGTCTTACAGAAGTTTTTCAAATTCTTTCCTTAGTTTAGAAGGGAGTTGAAGTATTAAATAGCGTTATTAAATGGTTATGATATGAGCAGTGATTTAATTCATGGTAAAAATGGCGAAATTCAGAGGCAGTCGCAAGTAGAAACTTTTGCGAAAGTTTTGGACCTAGAACTCAATTGTACACACACACACACACACCTTTTTTTTTTTTTTTTTTTTTTTTTGTGTGTGTGTGTGTGTTCTTTTTACTTTTGTGTACGAAGTAAAGGAAGTATTGTAATCACGAAAAATTTTGGGCACCATATTTCAACGAAAATATCCATTTTGACCACTATCGAATGCAATTTAACGATGTTTTTGTTTGATATCTGTACGTAAGGACAGAATAAAGGACACTTTTCCAAAAAACCAATTATAAAACTGATTTAAAATAGATTCTGAAGACTTTTTTTTTTTTTTTTTTTTTTTTTTTTTGTGGCGCCTGTACGTACATAAATATGCATGTATGTATGTATCTCGCATAACTCAAAAACGAGTAGCGTCAGAAAGTTGAAATTTTGCATGTAGGACTGCTATAACATGTAGATGTGCACCTCCTGTTTTAGTTGCCAATCGAGAGCACTAAAAGTATATAAATATATGTATATATATATATATATATCCACTCTGTTACTACGTTCAGTGAGCTTAGTTTCTTTATTCTTATATGTTTTTGCAAACTGTGCATTTTTTGCTTTAAAAATGATAGAATTATGTTGTTCTTACTTCCGGTTAAGGTTTTTATGCCTTTAGTTAACCTACATGCAATAATTGTAGAATTATCAACAATTTAGGTAGAATTATCAACAATTTAAGTTGCTTAAGTGCTGCTAAGCCTAATTTTTGTTTACCATAGCAGCCATATTTGTTTGCATTTGAAACTTAGCAGAATAGTGGAATTTGTTGCCAATCTAGAAAAACTAAGCTTCACAACAACAAAGCAACGTCTTCTTTCGTTTTTGCGAATTAAATCACGGTTAATCCATTCTGGAATTAACATTTAAGTTATTAAATTATCTCATATATTGAGTCAGCATAGCGTCCACATCAAATTAAGTCAGTTCGGTGTCATTTTGCCGAGTGAGACCAAAAGTAAACTTTCAGTTTTGTGGGCCGAATAATTTGCCGAATTGCTTGTTTTTACGTAGAAACGATAATTTTAATTGTAAAAATTGTTCTTTAAATTGTTTTAACTGTATTTATGTTTTATATTTTTCTAGCTTTTTCAATTTTTAATAAAAATATTTTTAGGTTTTTAAGTATTTTTGCCTTGTCGCTAAGTGAGACCTGAATTAATTAAATGAGGAATATATCTCTAATGAAAATTTTGTTAATAATTAATGAATAATACTTTTTTTTCCTTCTTAAATGACGTTCAAAGATAATGTTTTACTAGTGTAATTTATAATTTGTTATATTGGTACATCGAAAGATTTCCCATGCAGGTAATTTATAAGTTTGCACAGTTTTATTACTTTAGAACCATACAAAAATTTGTTTAACAATAAATATTTTAATTTTTAATTTATGCAAAAAAAAAAAAAAAACATTTCCGAGTTGGCTATGTCAATACTGAAGACAGC